AACACACCCCATAGGCGCCTATAAGTCGCAGGGCATGCAAATTATACATCCCCCCCCCCCCCCCCCCCCCCCCCAAAAAAAAAAACCCGACTTATAGGCCGAAAAATATGGTACGTGCAGGACAGTAGCTCTCAAGGACCAGATTTGGGCACCACTGGTTAACAGATCATGGTTTGTGGAAGCGTTCCAGAGTCCATAAAATAATGTCCAGAACTGAACCAGATCTGTTTTTTATTGTCTCCTGAAGATCACAACCATCTAATATAGATTTCAGTCTGGTCCCTGGACCGGAGATTTCTCCAGGTTCCTAAGATCTTTCGACGATATTATGAACTGAAGATGACGGGATCTTCAAAAGGTTTTCCAATTTTCTATTAATAAACAACCTGAAGTTTCACTAATAGTTTTAGACAGTTTATCAGACTGGTGAACCTCTGCCCATCTTTACTTCTTAAAGATTCAGCCTCTCTAAAATGCTCTTTCTATACCCAGTCCTCTTACTGACCCGTTGCCAATTAATTTAATTAGTTGTAAAATGCCCCTTTAGTTGTTTATTATTCATTACATTTATTTCTGCAGCCTTTTGTTTCCATTGGTCCAATTTTGAGACGTGATGCTGACATAAAATTCAGAACAGTCTTATTTAAATAAATGTTATCTTAGTTTCAGCATTTCTTGGGTTTACTGTATTCCACTGTGAAGAAATATGGGATTTTGAGATTTGAAAATAATTTCATTCCGTTTATGTTTCGATGTTTTTGCACAACATCCTGATATTTTTTCCCCCAGAATTGAGGTTGTACATCAAATGACTACTTTATCTGAGCGTCACTAAAATCATTGGTTCACAAGATATTTTATTAACACACAGAGTTCATGCCAATTTTGTGTCATGCAATGTGTAGCACACAGAGTACATTATTGGTGATGCTCAGCCACTACCACACCAAATTTTAGATCGTCTTGTACATTGCCTGAGTTAAAGCCATCAATAGCTGCGGCAGCCATCTTTAATCAGAATGACTCCTAAAGTTATTCAGTTGTAGACGTACATGCAATTTCGCAAATTTGGGTAAATTTTTTTTTCTTGAGGCGTTAATCTTTCCTCCATCCTCTAATTCTTTAGAATAGTATTTTAGTTTAATCAGACCATATCCACGCAGGAGTTGTGGATCCCCACCTGAACGTTTTCAATTTTGGACTTGGCCAGCAGCAGCTTCTTGTCGTAGTCGCGCTGCCTCTGCTCTCGCTCGGCCTCCAGCTCCAGCACGGTTTTCTGGGACTCGGCCAGTCGCTGCCTGAGGTCTGTGATCTAAAAACACGTGAAAACATCTGGCTGAGGAGAACGCTCACTGAAAGCACTGATCACAGATGAAAAGTACATTGTTGAGCAAACACAAAGCGAGGGGGCGAAACCCTGCGATTTCAAGATAAGCACTATCAGATGAAGACGTAAATCAAGCGGCGCCTGTGTTAAAATACAGCATTTATCAAATGACAGACCTAAGCTGCAAGAACTCGTTTGCAAGCACGCAGATTTGTTTTTGTGCAAAATATGAACGGACCGAGTGACGCAAATGGATATATCTAGGGCTTCTGTGGTGTAAACCCTAGCCTGCATGGTGTCACCATCTCGGCAGAGTGTGAATGTCGGCATGTTCATAATTGTGGGTGCGCACAAATGCAGGTGTGTTTGTACAAATGTGAGAGTGTGTGTTTATCTGTGTGTCTTTGCTGCCCTCTGACTGCACCACAGCAGGAAGTCAGCGGGTACCAGAGAGGTGAGGGGAATTCTTGCTGAAGTGTGACAGGCCTTGTGGTAAGTCTGCTCAGATAGCAAGCTATTGCAAGATTGCAGCTTTTCCACTGGACAAGCACAATGTTTAAAAAAAAACAAAGGACATGCACTGATGTTGCTTCACTACCAACAGGTGCACAAAACCTCCAGTCCCGTGTTTCTTGAAGATTGCTTAAAAACAAGTAATTTGAACAAAATGCACAAAAGAAAGCTGAAGCTCTACATCTGACAAGTTAAGAGTTCCACGACAACACTGGATCCAGCTGTGGTAACCAGTTAGAATATCACAAAATCCAATAACTAAATTCATTTTTTACAATTAACACAAGTTACTTCAAATAAGTGCTCACAATAATTTAGGGATTTAAAGCACCGTCAGGGTAAAAATCTAAATGAGTAGAGGTGGAAGCGAGCAGAATTTAACTCATTCTGAGCCTACAGCTACATTTTTAGGACTTTCAGTTCTCGGATCATATATATTTTTTGTGTGTGTCAAGTAAAAAGTACAAACCTTTTACCGTTTTAGAATGAAAAGCCAAAGAGCCTGAATCTGATCATAAACCTTAATTTATGTTCCTAATTGAACATAATGCATTAAACTGAATTGGATGTATATAAAAAAAACTAAATTGTGAAAATGATTTTTGGATCGGCTCGTTCAGATCAGATTGGTCTTCCCACATTGTTGACTGCAGCCGTGAAGTCATTACTGTACCTTCTGCTCAAACTGTGACTTCATGGAGTTCCACTGAATGTCCCACTGCTTGTTCACCTCCAGAACCTGTCAAAAGAAACCAAATAACTCAACATATAGGAAACTAAACGCAGAGATTTTCCCCCATGGCAAAAGAGGATGAGACGCAACAACAACAAAAAGGTAAGTAAAAACTCACATCCTTTCTCTGCTTCTCCAAAAGCTTGATCTTCTTTTCATACACCTCTATATCACATGGTTTCACTGGGTTTTTCTCAGCAGATTTTCCACTCTGGGGAGAGACACACACAAGATTTCCCTAAAGCCACAAAAATCCTTCATTGTGTAGATCGTGTGAGCACACAGATGAGAAGTTTATAAATGAAAATCTCCAGTTACAAAAGGTGCGTCAGATGAAATCTCTGCAAAACAATAAATAATTAATAACCGGCGCTCATTTAAAACTACCTTCTGTGGTGTGGCGACCTCCATTTTAGGTCGGACGGCGGATGATCCCTCTTTAACTGGCTCGTCTTTGGCCTCCGGAGTGTCGGTGTCAGATGGCGACGCAGCTACTGCCGCTCCTCCTGTGACCAGCTCCTTAAGTTTCTGATTCTCCTGCCTGAACCAGGGAGAAAGTGAAAACGATAGCGTTTGTGAACGGGGTCCATTTTCCTGAGTTTGTTGACGTTACGCTGAGGCCCAAGGATGTCCTTTGGGAAGAACCTAGAACACCTGCCGAGCCAGAAAGTGCTGAAATACTTGCCACGCCAATCAGAAGTGAAAGTATGGTCAACTGCCTTCTTCTAGATAACTGAGGCGTAATGTTTTTATGATTAAAATGAGTAAACAGGAATATGATTCTTACTGGTGTCATAAAAACAAAATGACCGGGACAAAAAGAAAAGACACGATGACAGCACTGCAAGTCATCTCACTTTTGTTCTTTTCTAACAATGTTTCTGCTCAACAGAAGCGACGTAGAAGTCCAGCAAAGCAAAAAAGGAGAAAGGTTACCTCAGCTGTTCCAAGTCTCGATTCCTGATATGATGATCTTCTTCCATTTTCTTTCGAAGCTCGTTGTTCTCCTGTCTGAGCTGCTCGCACAGAGTCTACAAAACCAAAAGGAGAAGAGAAAAAAGCCCAGAATTATAACACTTGTCTGGAGCATGGCGTTGATTTTTTTTTTAAAGTTAGAAACAAATGCCTTTAATAAAATAAAACAAGTTACTTTGGGGTTAAAATGTCTTCTATCTCTCACTTTTATTCCACAAAGAAGAATGGGTAGTTTTCAAATCACATGTTGGGACCGGTGAAAGAAAATATTCAAATGGCTCAAAGTTATGTTGCACATCCCGTCGACGGCTGGAAACTCACCAGAAGCTCCCACTTAACGTTACAAAGACATTACTGAAATTAAACAGCAGCTGGACTTTTATTATAATCATGTGACAGATACATACTTGCACACGTGCATGTGTAAACTTTTATTATATTATAATGTTTTTAAAGATCTTCAAAGCAGTGTAGGCAGATGCCTCTTCAGACTGACTAGGCATCAGTACGTGATGTTTACCTCCAACTGTCACTGGTTTGTGTAGGTCATATGGTGTCCTACTTACATTGACAGACAATCATTCTGGTGTCACATCATGATGCACATAATTATCACGAGCGTGCCTCAGAAAGTTGATGCAACACAACCGCTGTAAGTCAGAAGTAGGTCTAGGACTCCAACATGTCTCCTTTCAAAACTGCAACTTTTCTAAGTGACAGATTTCTCTCCATTTTCAGGTCATTTATGACGTATGTTCACAAACCTTTACAATAAAACGCACGACTAGTCGTGCACAAAAGACGCAAAGCGTGAAACATTTCTGGAAAGAATGGAATAAATATTTGCCTGTCTTTGTTGGAAATCTGTAGTTTTTAATCTCACACTTCAAGTGTTTAAAGCAAGGTTGGTATTATAAAACAATTATTAAAACAGAAAAGGCTGAATTAGGGTCAAACTTGTTAAGGTCAAAGCTGAATAAATGGTGCAGAATAAAATAAATGACCATCTACATTTATGTAGCACAGGTTCACTGAATGCTTCAGATGTTAATTCAAGCTATGGCTATGTACCAAAGTCCATGCTCAGTAATCCAGGTATAAAATCCAACCATGTTCAGTCAGGTCATCTGGACGGTTTCATTTTTTTGTGCTGAGACATTTCGCCCTCCATCCATATGGCTATTTAGAAGGTTTTATGATAGAGGTGGACAACTTCCCACTTGAGCAACTTATGTTGAGAAACTCACATTTTGACCTTTTAGAAAATGAATAAAAAAGTCTGGAAACAAAATGTAGTCCTGCAATCTGTTTTCTTTTTCCCCGTGTTTATCATGATGACATGGAAAACACTAAAAACCAACTTCACACTCGTCAGGCCTTCGTAGGAACCCTGCAGGCCCCTCAGACACTCTGAATTCACTACAAACCTGGTGCTTTAAAAAGCTCACTCTGGGACAAATTATGCAAATGGCTGAGAATTAATCTACTGAAGATGCCAAACTAACTTGTAGTGATTCTCACCTGTAGGAGGGAGGTCCTCTGCTCATTCTTTTGGACCTTGGAGGAGAGGTGGTGAAACTCCACAGCCATGCGGCCGAGGTGGGCCAAGAGCTGGTTGGGGTTGGACTCCTCGGCGAATATGCTAAAAGAGCTCTCGAGTCTCTTCAGCTGGCTCGCCAGCTCGTTGTTCTCCTGAGGAAGATGGGGGATCGCTCCTGCCACTAAGCCAGCCTGGAGAGACCCACACGAGTAAAAGGCGAGTCATCGTCTTCAAGTCAACAGAGTTGGCAAGCTCACCGTCGCACATTCATTTAAATGAAAGATTTTTCTATGGAATGCTGCAGATGATTTATGTGAAAAGTAAAACCAGTTTGTCCAGTTGGATAGATTTAGCTCCCAGATGCAGTTAGTTGTGACACAGTCAGAAAAATCTTTTTTTTTGAAGGTGGGGCTCTTCTTCATACGGAACAAGTAGTAAAAGCAATGAGAGCGGATATTTCTCTAAAATATTATCACAAGTGTCCCTTTAACCCGTCACCTGGGATGCAGTGTGTGAATGAATCAGCAGAGTAATTCTGGTCAGTAATAATCCTGGAATTTCCCCTCACTGACTCAGCTGGAGCTACCAGTATTGAGTTTGTTAGTGAGTCAACACACCATTGAAATATTCCTAATACTGAGAAAATTACTCTACATGGGAAGTCTGAATTTAGCCTCAGAAAGCTACACAGAATAATAATAGTTTACACGGAGCTTAAATCAAGAGCACCCAGATACTCATTGTGAAGAATGTGTGAAACAAACAATTTGACTTGTGAAAGGTAGAATTTATGAGCTAGTTTATTTTAGGTATTTATTTGATACGCACCGTCATGGCTTCCGAGTGATTTCCCTCCATATTCACTGCCTCAAACTCTGATAGCACCTCCTGTAAGGACCGGAAAGTAGAAGTAGCACAATAAAAATCCCATAGCAGGAAGATAAATATTCTCTAGCTAGCAGCTGGAGATAGTCCATAAGAGATTTTGCAAGCAAGTAAACTTACATTGGGCTTCTCCGGCTGAAGGGTCTTTCCTAAACAGCTCATTAGCTCCTCCTTCTCTGCAGTCGAGTGTAAACAGGGTTTGCCTAAATTAAACCATTCAAGATTATAAAGCAAAATACAATTCCAAAAGGTTTGATTTCAAAGAGCACAACTCTAAAAAGTTCATGATGTCATTAGGGACATACTTTGTGTCTCAGTCTGAATGGGCCCTCCCATGCACAGACTGGCGGCAAAGCTGGAGGACTTTAAGGCCTCGTTGTCTCTCACAAGTTCCTCCACTCGCTGCCGAAGCCTCAACGCCTCCGACTGAGACTCCTCCAGCAAATCACCTGCAAGTTTCAGAGAAAACCCGTCTCTGTCCAGCAGCACTCGACTTAAACTGTATCAGTTTTCTTTCTGACAGATGCTTAAAGGGAAATAAAAGCACGCCTTTTGTGACTCACAGAACAAGCATTCAGTTCAGTCATGTCACTGGTATGCAAGCTTTTCAAGAAGATTCCCATGAAGACTTCTAGGTTTCACTATATTTTTCACACTTGTTGCACAACACTTTTAATTCTGCATGTGTATTTGTTGACTGTGAGGTCAGCTAAGTGAACTGACATAACTCGAGGCTATTGTCTGTACTAGACAGGCTAGACTGGGCGGCTGTGGCTGAGTGGTTAGAGCAGTCGTCCTCCAATGCAGCAGTCACATGCCAAAGTGTCCCTGGGCAAGACACTGAACCCCTCATTGCCTCCAATATGTGTCCCATCGGTGTATGAATGTGATATAAACCACCGATTAGTCTCTTTAGAATGATTTGTTCAATGAGCTTTGTATAGATCTAGTAGAGTGCTGTGTGAATGGGTAAATGAGAACACAGATTGTAATGTAAAGCACTTCGAGTGTCTTGATAAGATAGAAAGGTGATATACAAGTACAGTCCATTTACTACATACAGATTTTGGGGGCTGAGGTGTTGTAGAGGTACGGTAGCCAACTTGGGACCAGAAAGTCACAGTTCGACTCCCCGCCATGCCCACATGTCGTGGTGTCCCTGAGCAATATACCTAATCCCTAATTGCTACCCGGGCATTTACATAGCTGCCCACTGCTCCACCTGGGTGTAACTCATGCGTGATGGATTAAATGCAGAGAAACAATTTTGTCATTTTATGGGAGCATACAGTGATAACACATAGTACTTTCTTAGATAAAGTAAAGAAAGAAAGACGTCCCAGAGAGTACAATGGGTTACCCTAAACTGACAACTATCAGACATAAACATGCTCTCTTCCACAACATACCTAAACTCTTGAGCCCCTTCATTCGCTCCCTCAGCATGCTGTTCTCCTCCAGCAGCTGTCGATAGCTGCTACCCCCTACGGCCTCGTCCCTGGCCTTAACCTCACTCCCACCGGGATCATAGATGCGATATGGACCTTTCCCTTCCATGGCCGTCGCTCACTTCCTACACATGATCTTCTGAACTGTGGGGGTAAAAAAGGACAAAAGACAGTTAAAAAAGTGCACAAATAAAACACAATATGAAGAAAAAGTTATGAGAAGAGAGTGCTTGACTTTAGTACAACCCACAGAGGCAGATTAAGGAGCAGGACCTGAAAAATATGCAACAAACATCATGTTTCTATTCTTACAAGCAGCTGGCCATAGATAACTTTAGCATCCTTTTGTTATGTGACAACACATGGTAACACCAAATCAAAGCATCCCACAGCTAGGCTGTGTGTCCCGACACGTTTCAACTTCAAGCTTCTGCAAAGAAAATGCAGAAATACCGAAGCATGGTCATGGACCACCGTGAAGCCGAACAGAGTTGGAGCTGACACATTTCTGAGAGCTTGTGGCTAAAAGAATAAAAGACAACTACACCGCTCAGGACAATAAAAGGCTAAAAATAAACGACTACAAAAACACTACTTCTAATATTTAACACCGTTTGAAATGCAACCCAATCCGGCTGATGACAGCTACCTTGATTGGCTGAAAAGGGCTAATATTAGTTTTCGCTGTTGTCATGCAAATTGATAGCAACATCTTCGTTAGCCGTCGGCTAGCTCGAACTGGATGACAAAGCGGGACAGGAAGCCGCAAACGCCTCCTATTTCTCCACTAAAAACCTCTCCTATCGATGCTACAAGAGAGCCGAAATGAAGAGTTACGCGACGAAACGACAAAAGAGGTTTTCTCTGACCGGGTACCTTTCAGCTCGCAGTGGCCTCTCGTCTCTCTGGCCAGACAGACATCTATTACGGAAGTAGTCTACTGAGTCTATGCCGTAACCTGGGAAATTCCACCTCGCAACGTTTGATGTAAACAGCGATGATTGACAGCCGGCTACACCAATGAGGGTGGAGCTTACGTCAGAGGGGGTGTATCTATCTGAGAGCCGGGCCGTGTTGTAAACAGAAAAAAATCAAACAAGTTAAAATCGCATACAATTTTTAGGAAGCCCTCTTTTTTATTTTTTTATTTATTTTTTGCTGTCTTTGTGATTTGCCTTCTTAAATATCTCCACACAGTGAAAACTATAAAATGAATGAAAAAATAAATAAAAAATAAAGGTTGAATGAATGAATGAATATAAAGCAAATAAAACAGTAATTCACTAACACAAAGTTTGTTTTCTCAGTCATCCAGGTATATAACAACAAAAAAGGTTGAATCATGTCAACTTCAGGGGTATCTGAGGCAGGCTTGAAACACAAGAGTCAGGGTGGCTTCTGGGTAATACCAGATGGCTAGGCCTCAGACTGACGAAGCCTCTTGGATGAGGGGCGAAACGTTTCTTTTTAACAAAAAAACGAAGTCCAGATGACATGATTCAACCTTTTTTGTTAGTAATTCACTACTTTTCAACTTGATTTATGACTGAATTAAATCACTTTTTCTTATTTAAATTCCATTTTGGAGGGCAGCCTTTTTCATTCAGACACAGATCATCTTCACTGAATTATTGTTTTTTTACTCATTGATAAATTCAGAGGGGCTGATGGGGGTTTCTGTTATTGCATCACATATTTCCTCTGAACTATGAGGATAACCAGACCTAAATCGAGATCAAATGAAATGTTCGCACCTTCGCTTTGACAAAACAACTGTAAAAATGTCCTACCATTAAGGTTAAAGAAAATTTATTTCACTGCTGGTTGTTTCCCCCTTCCATTCAACCTTTATTTACACAGGTTAGTCTCATTGAGTCAAGAGGACTCATTTTCAAGAGAAACCTGAACCAATCATGTAATTGTGCTTTATATTTATGTTTTATTTTTCCTGGTTATATTGAAAATCATAAAGCAGAGCATTATTTAATTGACTATACTGATTTGGGCCATAAATGCAACAAAATGGACTAAAAAATTTACATTTATTGATCAGGAGTGACATTAATTTTTGATCAATGTGTGATAAATACCTTAAGATAAAAATTCTCCACCTTAGATACAAGTATCTCTGGACTTAGTTTCTAGTTTTGTCAGTGAAATGTAAACATATAAGCCTGCGTATGTAAAAATGTGCTTTAAAAAAATCAACTAAATACGTCTGGTTCAGTGTAACTTAAATATCATTTACCACATTTTCAACTAAATTCATTCCAAATAATAGGATTAACATAAAGCTGTCTTCCTCATTAAACAATTGTGCAATAAAAAGGAAAAATCCAGAAGTTCATTCATTAAATTATTTAAAAACAGCTACGTTCGATTGTGAAACTTTGGCTTTTACTAGAGTTCAAAACAACATGTTTTGAAACTGAAGGGGTTTTCTCTAATCTTCTTTTTGCTGCCACAAAAACAGTTAAATATATGTGTTGAAAACTAAAGCAACCCCACAGAACAGTTTTAAACCATGTCAGCCTTAATGACACATTTTGTTTCATGAAGTGATACAACATGTCCTGATGCTGCTCAATAATCCAGGTAGATACACGTAACAAGGTTGAGTCAGGTCCTCTGGATGGATTCTTCTAAAAGACGTCTTCAGAGACTGAAGACGTCTTTTATATAAAAAACATGAAACGTTTCCACAAGGAAGAATCCATTCAGAGAACCTAACTCAACCTTGTTCGAAGAATTATAACATTTATTGTAAATGTTTCAAAAATTCTTATGTATCTAGCAATTATTTTGTAAAACATAAGCTAAAATAAAATAAATAGTAAGTTTCTGGTGAAAATAAATTAGTCCAAATAAAGACACGTGTAAAAAATATTTGCCGCTTGCTGCCGGTTGATGTTAGAGACAGCCAACGAGCTGAATATGAGCTGACGCTGACAGGCCGGTGTCAGTGAATGATGTACAAGTGAACACGCGATGCAAAGGTTTATTACCATGGCAGAGATTTCTTTATTTCTTTCCCTCCTAACGGCGTATGGCGTCTTGTTGAAGCTTCGCTTCTGTTGAAAACCTCCAAATGTGCCGAGCAAGACACTCAAACCTCTGACCCATTCAGATAAGCAATAATTTTTAAATGCAATGCTATTTATGAACAATTTAACTCTGGTTAACAATGAAACTACATTGCTTAAGAATGTTTTCCTCTGTAAATCAGTGTAACCTGCTTTCTGAAGACCATTACTTTACTTTAGGCTAGGTTATAAAAATGTTTTCAGTGCAAAACAGCAGAAAAGAACATTTTTTTTTACACTGTTCAAAGGCCCTAAAAAATGACATAAATTGATTATTTAGAGAAATAGTGACATCTTGTGGAAGTTTAACTAATTATCTTTGACCACATTTTAAACTTTGACAACTCTTGTCTTAACTGGAAACATGAACAACAACAAAACAATTCAGATTATCACGTCACACAATCACACTTACCCACTCGCAGGGTTCTGGTCCCTGCTTTATAGTCACAAGGTTGTAAAAATAATCATAAAGAAAGCAGACCTCCACGAGGACGCAGCCTCAGAACTTCAACCTTGGAGGTCTTATCAGACAGAAGGGTGGGAAATACCCAGCTGTCAAATGATTTGACATAAAATGAGCTGAAAGGAAGCAAAATCAAACCTTTTGTCGCAATTAGCTCTTCCTGTGCCTTCGCAGTGGTGCTCAACTAAAAAAGCACCGTTAACAGAGTAAACATGAGCTTTTAATGAACAATTTTGTCCTCTTTAAATAGCATACTTTCCTGTTTCTGCTTTAAAGGGGATTGCACTATCTATTTGTGTCTTTATTTCTTTGAAAAGAAATGTCCCACTGTGGGCAAAAACTGAGTTAAAACAAGCAGACAATCCTTTTATTAAACAAATAATCACCCACGTTTATGTACGTCTTATTAGTCAGAAACTTGACTAAATGTGTGAGCGTGCTCCCTCTGAGAAACATTCGACAGCTACAAGAATGAGCAAACTCTTTGCTCGAGTAACTCTCTTGCAAATGTTGTTTTGTCCTCAGTCCTGCCACCAGACACGTAAGTATTTGTTGGTGCTCAGTGTTTCCTCCTTGGGCTGCTGTGATGTACTGAAAACAATATGCAGGGTGATGACTGTGGGCCTTCCAGCACAGAACCAGAGAACAAAAGCCCCAGGATGCAGGAAATGTCACCCATCACTTAGAATCCTGCAGGGTAACAAACTGCACCTTTTTTTTTTTTTTTTTTTTACCTCATTCGCACAAGTTAAAACACTTTAAAGCGTTTTCCAAATTGCACAAAGTCAAGAAAGTCCCCGCATCTCGTCTCCAGGCAGCAGAAATAAGCAGCTGATAGTCATTAACTCTGTGACTGAATGCAAAAACATGTCCTTTTATTAGACAGGAAGTAACTTTGATCATCCTGCTGAGGCTTAAATCGAAGTGCCGATTCTCTATTATAATAATAAGAATAAAATGATAGCTGTCAACAGAAATGGAACTATTTTACTCAGTATATTGTCCTAAATTTAGGCTTAGTCTTCAATAAATCCAATAAAAACATTTACTAAACTTTCAAACATTTTAGGCCTCATCTCTGAGGACATAACTCTCTTAAACCAAGCTGCATTAGAAACTAGACAACATAAAATTAATTTGGGAAGAAATAGCAAATAGGTGGCATAGCATGTCAAAAAAGTATAGTTAAAGAGCTAATAATAAATTTAAACTCGTGAGAACTATAAGTGAGTCTCCATCATGCAGCATTTTCTGCTCCAAGTCATAAAGGGCAACTCTACTACAGAGACAACCTAAAATGGCTGCAGCCGCCTCCTGAGCTTAGAAAAAACATTAAAAATAGATCCGAGATCGCACAAAAGTCTGCAGTATCCTGCATCTAAATATTAAAGCAAATAAACAACAACTCACCCACACATTCAGCTTGTCGGCGAAACGCTTTTTAAGGAAACTGGTAGAATAAGGGGGGAAGCAATTTCACTGAGACTTGGGGAATTCCCGTAACCCAGTAAATGTAAAATGGTCTAAAACTGCAGGCTCAGCCCGAACAGAACCTGGTGTGTTTCCAACTGCGTGGCCTCCCTTCACAAAAAGACAAGCTGCGTGCATTTTATACACATTTTTGGAATAGTTGCTTTCAGCTCCTTGTTGCTCACATGGATGCACGTTGATACTGAATAATCGGAAAGTGCTGCAAGGAAGGGGTCAGGAAAGTATTCAGCAATGGAGGCCTGTTGTAAGCTTTTATACGGGCATATAAAAATGAAAGTTAAACTGCAGCATAGTGTGCAAACTCACAACCTGTTGATAAAAGCTAAACGGCTAAAGCGACACACATAACTTCCTGTGAGGACAAAACAGCTTTGACAAAATGTCTACAATCTCATTCGTATTGAAAAGCTGAGCGTTGCCACACCTAAAGGAAAAAACTCAGCTAAAACTTCCCCTGCAATCAAGAACAGTGTGCATATTGATATATTGACAGTGCTGTTGAAGTTATCTCGTAATCTCTTGTAATTATCATCAAATGGAGCCATTTGAGCCTGGGTGTGCCATTAAAAGCAAAGTGACTGCTGCAGACTATTTGTTGTCTTGGATTCTGGCGTGCTGCGGGGGATTTCCTCACCACATATGTCTATTTCTTTCTCTTCGCTTCTTTCCTCTTTTAACTCAGAATGGCCTGACGACAGCTGCGCTCACACAAACGACTGAGTGAGCCGCCAGCAAGAGCTCAGACAACCGTGATGCACTCCCCTCCAACATTAAGTGTCCGAGTGCAAATGCAGCGTGTGGAAAACGACATGACAATGTTGCGTCGGGTGTTTCATGTTGGCGTGGCTGCGCTTAGATTCTGCACCTGTCCAAACCAAAAGATATGAGCTTCATTTATGCATTTATTAGCAGTTTTTTTTTTAAATTAGAGATCTGACATTTGTGTTCAACTGCTTTTACTGTAGCAGAAGCAATAACTTGAGGGTTTATTTGAGTTTGTGAGGCCTTGAGCTGGACTGGGATTTTCCTGGTGTTCAATGTAGTTCCCATTTTGTTCAGCCTCGTCTTATTGCTCATGTCAACGCAGTTAATCATTGAAATGCCCTGCCAGTCTGAAAGTAGTGCACATAAAGTAAAAAAAAATAGAATTAAAATACCTGAGAGCGAACACTGAGTTTATTTTACCTTTGTTATAACACATCATTTCATAGAAGAACAAAAAGGCAGTATTATTTTAATTATAATTATTTTATTTGGGTATATTTTAATATCACAATAGGCCTACTCTCTGGGCGGGTGATGATGTAAAGGCACTGCTTTAACACCTGCTAATGTACATGTGAAGCATATTTCTGTGCTACGAGAAAAACTTCATTTTACATGTGACACGGTAAAAAAGACACGCATCCTATCGCCAGACAGGGAAAGTAAATCTGAAAGCAGAAAGCTGGCTCATGGTGCTGAGAGGTCATCATACAGGGGGTCGCTTCATTTGGCTGGGGGGGTTGAACCACACCTGCTTTGACTCCGTGAGCGGGCTTGATTTTGTGGTCACTGAAGCCAGAGGTTTAATCTTCCCCTCCGCAGAGAATCAGCAGGGTTTTACGGTAGTCTCCTGAGGTGTCGCTCTGGAAATGAATGGAAAACACACAACAGGAGTTTGAATTCATGGAAACTACAGCTCACATCTGCTGACATCTGACCTTCAGGGTTGACCTTGCCTTGACACAATAGAACAACTGCAAAGTAAATTAATTAAAATAAAATGAGGAAAAACTGAGTGGTCAAAAGTGGAATTACCCATTTTATCACCTGACACACAGATTAGGATTTTCACTTCTTTGTGTTGATAAAGGGCAGCACGGTGGTGCAACTGGTAGAGCTGCTGCCTCTCAGCGAGCAGGTCCTTGGTTCAAACCCCGGTCCAGGGGCCTTTCTGAGTGGAGTTTGCATGTTCTCTCCGTGCATGCGTGGGTTTTCTCCGGGTACTCCGGTTTCCTCCCACAGACCAAAAACATGTATGTTAGGCTGTTTGGTAACTCTAAATTGTCTCTAGGTGTGAGTGAATGGTCGTTTGTCTCATTTGTCTCTATGTGTCCCTGTGATGGACTTGCGACCCATCCAGGGTGTACCCCGCCCCTCACACAGTGATTGCTGGAAATGGGCACCAGCGACCCCCGTGACCCAAAATGGAATAAGCGGATAAAGATAATGGATGGATGGATAATAATAATAATAATAATAATAATAATAAATCATTATTATTATATTATTAGTATTATATTTTTACCTTCTTTCTTTAGCTTTACAGCTTATGACCATTAGTTAAAAACAGCTAACAAGCTAGCAACAATTAGCTTTCTTTAGGCTAATGCTTATTAGCTTAAAAACAATTAGCAGCTCAACAGCCTTTGGGTTTCTTTAAACTTTTAGCCCCTAGCTAATGAGCTAATCACAGTTAGCCCCTAAAGATAGATACGTATGTATATATGTATTTATATATTTATGTCTATAACCTTATCGGCAGGGCTTAATTTGTAAACCAATCAGTGCCGGAACGCAAATAGTGGGTGGGGTAGGGGGGGGTCTTGGGTGGGAGTGAATAAAGTTGATGCAATTTCCTGCATTTTTGGTGTATTTTAATGGGTTGTTAAACATCTACGTTTACCTACAATTGTCCTTTTTTTATGGATAGATGCAGAAATGCTTTTTGAAGAGGCAGCTTGTATGTGATATTGAGAAGCTTCAAGCATGTATGTGGCTGTTGTGTTTAAAATTAGTGTTTATGTAATTATTTTACATATCCAAAACAAGTTTATTTCATTCAAGGCAGTCATATTTGTTCGTGCCATAACTTTATTATCTGTACGCCTGAGAGTTACCAGATCCAAACAGACATAGGAATGCAACCTGTCAAAATAAGAGAGTTCCCTGATCCTGTTCTGGCAGGATCCGGTTCAAAGTAGGCAGATAGCTTTCTTTCAGCTAATAGTTGTTAGCCTCTGCATTTCTCATTTATTAGTTCTAATAACTGAATTTTGGGATATTATTTTTTAAAAGGCAAGTAAAAACTCTAAAACATAAAAGTGGAACTAGAATTGTTAGCTTAATAACAGCTGTTAGGTTAGTAGTTATTACAGGGCTATTCAACTGGCCCGCAGGTGACTTCAGTCCAGCCTGGGCAGGGGGGGGGGGGGGGGGGGGGGGGGTCTGGGTTTTGGATTTGGGTTTTGGGTTCTGTTTATTGCATTTATGATTCAATGCAATAAAACAAACACATTTAAAAGGTCACAGATCATTGTAATACTTGGTTTATTTACATAACGACTTTAATTGCTGGCTGCCGGGCCCCTGAGCTGCTGGCTTTCAGAGACTGTGGCCCCCTGAGCAGTTTAGTTGAATAGCACTGAGCTATTAGTTTAATAGCTATTTTAGCATCCATTAGTTTAAAGACAGCTAACTTAGCAGATATCTTTTTTAGCTAATAGCTGTTAGCCACTGTACTGCTCGCTGCTTTTAGCAAGCTGACCAGAATCACAAAAAGTGGCACTAAAACAGAAACAAAAAGCAAAAACAAGAAGTTAACACACTCAACTGGTATTAAACATAGGCTGCATATTTATGGCTTCAACACTTAGACCTAATTAGCGAACCCATAAGCTATTGAGCAGACAGTTTAGGCTTTTACTGTAATAAATTTAATGTAATAATTTCTTTGGGTCATGATGTTCTGCATCAGAGCTGCAGTAGCCTGTTCATGAAAGTGTTACAACTTCAAGCACAAGTTTCACGTTTATTTTACATTAATAGAACTGCTCTCGTTACAGTGTCCTGGGTGCGTTTTTTCTTATTATTCTTCTTTCGGCTGCTCCCTTTTTTCAGGGGTCGACACAGCGAACTAAGTCGCACGAAGACTTGGCAATTATTTCCTGGGTGCTTTTTAAATAAGCTAAACGCACAGTTGTGTATAAAACTCATTTAACCCATAATGTCATTTTGAAAAAAGTTCACATTAAATAAAGTTTAATAATATGTATTAATAAAATGTTACAAATCAGTGTTGTAACGATAGTTCAGCAGATTAAGAACAACTGCATTTTAATATATATCCACACTGGGATCTTGTTCTCACAGTTTTATAGACCATCTGTGTGCAACATGCTTCTGTCATCTTATTTTCAAATCTTGTGCAGTTCAACAAGTTCTGGATCAACTCCGGCTCCTCCATTTTTACATCAAACCCATTTCGGGTGTTGTCCCACTCTGAACCTCCACAAACAAGTGGAAACTGCTGGGAGGTGGATTCACACGTGAAACGAGAAAAAGGTTTACAGCAACATTTTTAAATGCATTCCTGTGCATCAGTTTAAATTTTAGGTTTGTACGATAAATATGCAAACTTGGAAATTGATATATTGTGCAAATCAGCGTCCTTTTATGCATTTAAAGCTACCTAAAATATTGTGCTCGTACAAAACTTTAAACGGTGAATGCACAAGACGTTTTTTCGACACAAACTTCAAACTAACCACCGTATTGCAACTTTCTTTCTTGCACAATTTAAAAACATTTCTGGCCAAGCAAATCCAGGACATTCTGCTCGCCGCTTTTTATCGGTGTCACGGTGATTTCATCTGTAAGGTATTATTGAGCTGTTTTTAGGAACTTCCTATCTCTGCAGCCGCCAGCCAATCACACGACAGATATAAAGAGGAAGTTGGGTTGGGGAAATTCCTAAACAGCTGTGCAGTAGCCACATGCCTGCAGTCCACCGCAGGAAGCTATAGATTAAAGCGCCCCACCACCTCACCACAGCAGCAGCTGAAAGATGTGCAAAAGCATGCTCACACAGAGCGAGACGAAGGCAGCGAGATGAAAAAAACAAACAAAAACATGTCAGATGAGAGTAAAAAGAAGAGTTATTAAGCAATTAATCAGACTTACAATCGCAGTCTCTACCTGGATGAATTCATGGAGGGAGGCGTCGTGCGTTTCCTTAAACTCTTTACGGATGTTGAAAAGATCGATTTCACTCCGGGTCACCATGATGCGGATCAGCGCCCTGTCGTCTGTACCGAGACCCTGCAGAGGAAATCAGAACTCACCCTGTTTGTTCTGGTTTGGTAAACAAGCTGCTGATATCTAAATATACTCGAGGCCATGGAGTTGGCTTCGTTTGGTTCTACGATGAAAAGCGGTAAGGTAAAATGCAAAAATCAGTACCTTCATAGCTTTATAGAGACGGTCTGCAAAATAAGACGGCTGGTTCTTCACGCTGCGAACTAAAAGAAAAAGACAGAAGGGCTGAGATGGAGTCACAAAAAATACAGTCCCAAAAAAATTAATTAATTAAAGCAAAATATAATGAAACATCGTCCGCTGCCTTGCAAATTTTAAATAATTTCTCATCTGCTAGTACCCCAACAGACAGATATTTTAGATATTGAGTTAAAACTTTGCTCAGAGTCTAAAACTAATAAAGACTTAGCATATTTTTTATGTTAGCTAAGGTTGACTAGCTGTGGTGGACATCTTGAATGGGGTCTAATCATAAAGTTTATTAGTTGCCAATGACAATCCAGTGATTAATTTCTGAGAGGTTTATTAAAATCCATCCAGCGGTTCATGAGGTATTTTGCTAACAGACCAACAGGATCAACTCCAACAACTACTGCCTCAGTTTTAAACAAATATGTCATGCACTCCGTTTGTATTAGAAGAATATGAAGGGTACGGCACTCTGCTACCCCCCACCCCACAAAAAAATTGTATTACATCCTTAACAATGACAGTTACATCCAGTTTCCTCACTCGCTCTCATGCAAGACAGACACATTTCTTCCCTCTCGCGTCCTCCTCCTGCGTTTTTGCTCTCTGTCGTGTATCAGAGCTTCTATTTACACATCTTTCGAAACGTAGCCTACTGTCACGGATCTGGTCAGCTGGACTTTCAACGTAATCGATAACATTTTTTCAACAAAGCGACAGGGTCCTGGAGAACCCTCATACCCCCTGAGATGCACACAGCAGGATACATCATGGATCTGATGTGCCTTTCCGTATTATCTCAGGAGGACGCCGAAGATATTAGAATCACGATAGCAGGGTTTCTGCTCTATGGCACCGGTGGATACCTATGTTATAGGCTATTAAAGAAGACTGCAGCAGCAGTTTCGGCCATGGCAAAGCTGCCGGCCCTGTCTGCAGGTTTGGTTTGTGCTTCGAGTACTCATAATCAGCTGATTTACGAACTAAATCGTAAGATGGAAGCGATTTGTGAGAATCGCAGGCCACTTGTGGCTTCTGGGACTCGCCAGCAATGTTTGTGGACGACCTTGGAGGGAGCTAATAAGCACGGACCAGTGGAATGCCCACAAATCTGGCCATTGTAGATTAAAAGTACCAGCAGGACTTAAGGCTGATGAAAAATAAGTCTGCCTGAAAAAAAATCAACAATTGCGGCTTAAATGACTCTGACTCCACCGTTTGGCCTCGAAGCAGGCCGACTTATCAAATTTCTCCTGGGATATGTGTAAATTAAGAGATCTCTGTCCATCGCAACCACCCCCCGACAACTTCTGTGACTGTTTATCAGAACTGTACCAACTGACCAACATCTTAAACGTCTTAACAGGACTATGGGCTATCTGGAAATGCTTCATAGACAAATCTCACCATCTTGTCGTCAAATGCGCATGTAATGTGATTATAAATGTGCTTGCTGGTAGAGTTTTTTTATGTCTTAAATTGTGTCCTGATAAGGACAAGGTGTGTAATACCACTATCCTCTCCTCATGGCCTTTTCTTATCTAAAAGAACAAACTGTTAGGAGCAGCAGCAACGTGCACTCCATCCATCTTTCGGACGACTGTACGAACATAATCTCACTGTATTTTGGTGCAATGATAATAAAACTTATTCTGATTCTGATTTTAGTGTGTGCTGTGGCTGATTAGCTGTGGCGGAAATCTTAAATGGGGTAGACTCCAAACATTTATCGGTTGTAGATGTTCATCCAGTGCTTATGTCCTGACAGTTTCGTTAAAAAATTGTTTCCTGGTTCATGAGATATTTTGTTAACAGACAGACAAACTGATATAGGCACACACAGATATAAACAGTTATTTTCTCACGGCTTTCATGACGGTGAGATATTATTAAGGACAAGCTCAAAAGGATTTACCTATTGCATAAAAGGCATTTTTCACGTCTCCCGACATGTGCTTCTTGATAATCTGTTCAATGTCCTTGTTGGAGCATCTGACGAACTCCTGGAACACTGCGTGAGGAGACAGCTTGTGATTGGTCAGACATGTTTTTGAAGATGACTGAATTTATAAACAGCTGATCGTCGTTCAGCTTTGATCCTCACCTTTCCTGAGATGGGGGAAGCTCCTGGTGCACAGAATACTCATAAACTTCATCTCCATGTCGTCAGAGTCTGCGTTGCACGCGTCCGCCAGTTCCTGTTTAAGGTTAGGAATCGACGACGGGAACAAGTGTTTAATGCAATTGCTCCATTATGCAAAATTTGAACAATTTGCACTGGATTAGGCATCACCTGAGCATCTTCGCAGGCTCTTTCCACATCTGCAGGGCCCTCCTCTCTGGCACCCTGAGAAAAGAAAGGGAAAATATCAGTTTAGTCATCCCCAAACTTCCATTAAAAAGTACTTCAGGATTTTCTGAAAGAAACAACATGGAGGTGAATAAGCAGCCCTTTGTGTGTGTTAGAGTGCTGCAGCTGAAAGCACAAATCAGACAGCGAGTGGGCGTGGAAAGGACACACAGTCAGAGTTCTCACGACAAAGGTTACCTGCACGAGGGAAACCAGGATGCGGCAGAAGTGGCCCGATGTGTCTGACTGCAGAGCTTCCTCCAGAGTCTTCTTATAGGCTGTGAGGGACAACACGGTGGAACGTGCTTTTACTGAAACAAGACGAACACCTTTAAAACCCGTACTGTTTGGAATCTAAACTCACCGTCCTGATAGGCTGCGTTCACGGCTTGGATCTGCTCGTTGCTCCTGGAAACCAGGATCTCAATCAGAGCGTGCTCATCTGTCCCTGCACCCTGTTGAAGCCAAAGGTTTTACAATCAGAAGACACTGACAACATGTGACAGAGTCCTGAAACACTATAAACTATATACTTGCTGTTTTAGTGAATAAATCGATGTTGAACCTTAAAATATAAGCACTAACTTAGACTGTTTGTTTTTTTCCAATTCTAAATAAAGACCTGGCAATTCTTGAAAGAATGCATACTGACTGCCATTTTCATACCAGTTTTACACTAATAATTTTATGTTAAGACTTGCATGGTGGTACAATGGTTAGAGCTGTTGTCTCTCTGTGAAAAGGTTGCAGGATCGCCTCCTGGCCTGGAGCCTTTCTGGATGGAGTTTGCATGTTCTCCTTGTGCACATACAACATGCTCCAGGTGGATGAGACATCCATCCATCCATCCATCCATCATTTTTACCTGCTTCTTCCTTTTTGGGTCATGGGGGTCACTGGTGCCCATGTCCAACAGTCACTGGGCAAGAGGTGGAGGACACCCTGGACAGGTCTGCAGTCCATCACAGAGACACATAGAGACAAACGAGACAAACAACCATTCACTCTCTCACTCACACCTAGGGACAATTTAGAGTTACCAATCAGCCTAACATGCATGTTTTTAGTCTGTGAGAGGAAACCGGAGTACCCGGAAAAAAAACACGCAGCACAGAGAGAACATGCAAACTCCGCCCAGAAAGGTCCAGAGCCGGGATTTGAACCAGTGACCTTCTCGCTGAGAGGCAACAGCTCTACCGACTGAGCCTCCGTGCTGCTCATGTGAAATGAAACGCATTGCTTATTTTCTTGTCAGGCGTTATTTTGATTGAAAACTAAACTCTGCAGGACATTTGTGTTTAAAGTTCATCACCGGTGCACCCGTGGGTCAGATGTAGGTCTCATCATCACCTGCTGAGTTACGCTCAACATTAAAGAACTCGGACAAACCACAAAATTACAACATACATTGTGCGGCTTTAAGTTGAATGTCATGGAAACTACCACATAGAGGAAACACAACTACAAACAATGAATTCCTGCTGAAACTGAGAAATGACTGCCTGACTGCATGAAGTGGAAACACCGTGCAGCGGACATAGCACAAGTAATTCATTAAGACCTGAAAACTGGTACCAAACACACAAAAATTAGAATTATTTTGACTATAAAAATAAAAACATTAGTGAAATTAGTCTAATTTATGCATTTGTGGTGCTACTCATGGATGACTGTGTGAATGCTGATTCAGGATTCACATTATTGTTTTCCTGGTTTTATATTTTGTCACATTTTTTGAAACCTGCATACTTTGTGCTATTTTAGCCACTTATATTAACAACATTCTGCTCAATCAAGAGATGTCTGCTAAAACTTTAAGATTTTACAGTTGCTATGCTTTTCAAAATATTTATTTTTATAATTTGCATATGTTTTCACTATAATCATGCAATGAGATCACTTCACCTTCTTTAGGAACATTGTTCTTTTTGCAGACTTGTGTTTCCTCATCTTTAAAATGTTCAAAGTCCAGAATGACTCTGCTGTTCTGCACCAGGAAGTGCAAACATTACTAAACACATTATGTATAAATCTATTTCATTATTGGATGCTTGCTGGGTGCTCTGTTGAGGCTTCACCTGCATCTTTCATGCTTTATCCAGGCTTGGAAGACAAATAAAGATCTATGGTTATGCTCTTTAAGAATGTTACATTCAGCTTTTTGTGTGTGTAGAAAGCCATCAAAGAACAGACCAAAAGTCAAGGTTTTAGTTTTTGTAATAAGCTCATTTTAAATTGAGATTAAAAAAAAACTTTTTTTTTCTTTAGCCATGTTTTTTATTTGCTGTAAAGCCTGCCCTTCCTACAGTTTGACAATAAAACACGTCATAACTATAAAATATTCTGTAAGTTATTGAATCAAAGACAGCCTGAAAATGTGTTTAGGCTGATGGATCATTAGTAGTCCAAACAAACGTTCATCAATCGTCATCAAAACAGATTATAATATATATATATATATATATATATATATATATATATATATATATATTTATATATATTATATTCCTGAAGGGAATGCATGGTGCTTCATGCCAGTTTCAGAGTAAGAACATCTTGTGAGGAGAAATAATGAATTACAGTATACAGAATCACAAGAAATATCTTGCAAGATTTGTTAGCCCTTAAAGTCTGTGCTGTGAACGACTGTCAGCTACCACCACACCAAAGTTTTTGGTCAGTATCTGTAAAATTCACTGAGGCATCATGGTGTCATGTTTGTGTACAGGCTGAGGTCAATTACATGTTCAAACAAAACAAACCCATATTACCTCCATTGCCTTCCTCATCATTTTGGCATCAAACTCAGCTGGGGTCAACATGAGCCCAATAATCAGCCTCTCCAAGTTCCTGGACAGCTCAGACTTCAGGTCCTTCATCAGATCCTGGAGGGGGATCAGATCCAGCGAGGCGTCAGGAACTTGTTACAGGAAATACAATATATCTTACAGGAGTTGGAACTAAAGCTAGTAAATGTTTGGCTTGGCTTAAAAACTAAAGTTAAAGAAATAAATCCCAGCATGCTTTTGTAAATGTTACTTTGAAGCATTTGTTTCTCTCACCCTCCCCAGCTGCGACTTGAAGGCCTGTCGGATCTCCTGCCTCTGGGCGTTGCTTCTGTTTGCAACGATTTCAATGATGGCATCTTCATCTGTTCCTGTGGTCAAGAAAACAGGCAAAAACACGAGTCACGAAAAACCGAGCATTCCTTGAAGCATTACATATTTCTGAGATTTAGACTAACATCATTGTATGTTGAGAAACGACGGCGTGCTACAAGTTTTTTTGTCAAACCTTGAATAAAATGCTAAGTCAAGGACAAAGGTTTCTTATTTGTCATTTGCACCTCATGTGGTACATGTGGTGGAATGAAACTGTGTACATAGGGTCCCAGTAACATCCAACAAAAGTATAAAATGTAAAAGAAAAACAGTAATAAGATCTAAGATGTGAACTGCGAAAAACATTAAGCTAAATATACACTAAGTACTAATAGTACAAAAACAATACGCTGAACAGCAGCACGAACATGAGTCTGTGTGAGCAGATGAACACGCATGAACACAGCAACATTGAAACAGATCAGCAGCAACATGATGTGATTTTTCACAGTGATTATCTTGGTTAGATATTCATGAGTCCGGGGCAAAAAGTGTGTGTGCTGGGTGAGTGGGGTCCTTCATGATGCAGGTGGCCCTCTTCCTGCATCTGGAGGTGTAAATGTCTGTGATGGTGGGGAGGCTGATTCCGACAGACTTCTGTGCAGCCTTCACCACTCTCTGCAAAGCTTTTCTTTCTGCAGCTGTGCAGCCTCCATGCCATACGTTGATGCTGGAGCACAGGATGCTCTCCACTGCACACCTGTAGAAGGAGGTGAGGACTGAGCTTCCCAGACCAACTTCTCAGCCGTCTGAGGAAGTAGAGTCTCTGATGAGCTTTCTTGATCAGGCTGGTAGTGTTGTTGCTCCAGCTGAGGTTGTCATTCAGGTGCACACCCAAATACTTGTACTGTAGCTGGAGCCCACTTCCACTGCAGATCCTCTTATGTTCAGGGGGGTGTAGGTGTGTTTGTTCCTTTTGAAGTCCACAACCATCTCCTTCATCTTCTTCACAATGATGTGAAGGTCATTCTCTTTGCACCAGCTCTCCAGGTGTTCCACCTCTTGCCTGTAGCTGGACTCATCATTGTCTGTGATGCAGCCAACCACCGCTGTATCATCTGCAAACTTTACAATGTGACAGCCTGGATGGGTAGCTGCACAATCATACGTGAGCAGAGTAAACAGAAGGGGGCTCAACACACATCCCTGAGGGGAGTCAGTGCTGAGGGTTATGGTGGAGGAGGAGAAGTTGTGGATCCTCACTAACTGTGGTCTGTTTGTTAAGAAGTCTAGTACCCACTTGCAAATGGAGGGGCTTAGTCCTAGTGTGGATAGTTTGTCCATCAGGGTTTGGGGGATCATGGTGTTGAAGGCGGATGTGAAGTTCACAAAGAGCATACGGACGTAAGAGTTTTTCTGCTCCAGGTGGATGAGAGCAGTGTGGACCACAGACGAGATGGCATCCTCTGTTGATTGGTTCTCACGGTATGCATACTGATCAGGGTCCTCGTTGATGTTGATGGTTGTTTGGATGTGGATCATGACCAGTTTTTTTAAGAATTTAGACCAGTCATTGTAGAGCTTTTTGGGACTGGGATGATGGTGGGTCTTCAGGCAGGTGGGAACTGTTGCCAGGGTGAGTGCGGAGTTAAAGATTTTGGCCAGCACCTCGCTATGAGTGCTATCTCAGGTAACGTGGCACGATGTCACACTCAGAGTATGACTCCCACCTACTATCACATGAAATTTAACCTCAATATCTGCAACATTGACTTATGTTATGGGCATTTTGCATTGGTTTAAACTGGTTACCTGTGGCAACCATCTTAAATGTGGTTGGTGTCAAAAGTAACTCAGTTGTAGACGTATATCCAATGACTACTTTCTGAAAGTTTCATTAAAACCAATCTAGTGGTAAATTAGGTATTTTGCTAACAGACAAACAAGGTTGACTTCGATGGTTGATGCTAAAGTTTTGGGCAACAATTTTGGAAAATGAATAGTATTTGACGTACTGTATGTGTTGTGACTGAGTCTCAGCTACAACCACACCCAATTTTAATGCAGTGTCTATAAAACTGAATTACTCAAAGCAAAATTTGTCATTTTTAAGGTCAGCTGGCTGTGGCGGCCATGTTACATTACATTACCTTAAAATCCATCTAGTGGTTCATGAGATGCTAACAGACGGAGCTGAGCATGAATAGTTTAATAGTGTAAGTTGTACTAAACTGTTTCCCATGGTTCATGAGCAAACACACAAACAGGTACAAACAAAAACATCTGTCGTTGCCTTTCAGTGGCAAAAATATATTTGTAACTGTGCACAGGATGTGTTGGGCTTTAAGTTTCAAAAGTTGCCTACCAAACCCCTTCATAGCTTTTCTTAGAGCTTGTGCGTCGGCTGCAGGGTCAAAACCAGAAGCAGGACGAACTGTGGGCCTGAACTGAGGGAGTGGAAATAATCCAATCAGGAGAATGATCAATAACACACACACACACACAAAGATAACAGACAAAGATTCTTGGCACACACATCAGGTTTGTTAGAACAAACATGCAAAACAGCCACATTCACGGTTTGTTGTCCAAAGATTATTGACCAGATTACAGCTGAAGCAGCACTCTGAGCGTTATGAGAATATTCTTGTGACCTTTGAGAGCAGGTGCCCTCATGAAGGCAGAATTCACCAAACAACGAAAAAACGTTGGCACGCTGAGAAACGACTCGGTCTCTACAAAGCGTTAGTGAGGCAGCCTTTTGTTTGCAACAATGCTGAGACCTTTCTGACATTCACCCTCCAAGTGGAGGATTACAAGAGAAACTATTTGTATTCCAGAGAACAGCGTTCTGATCGTATCCGGAGTTCAACAAAGCCATCCTCTGTGCAGAACACGGCTTCAGCGCAAGCTTGCAGCAGCACAGCCGTTGCGAGGCCAGCAGGCGCTCGAGATTCCAGTTATTGTCAAGCCAAACATGCAAGGACACATCTAAAGTGGGAGCTGATGGGAGGCAAACCTGAACTTTGGTCATGGCACTTAACTCCCACATCTTGTAGGCTATCTGAGCCGCTTCAGGGAAGAACTCTCCAGCTAAGCTGCAACGATCAGTTTGACACAACAAAGCAAACTCAGCAAAGTCAAGCTGGAGATCTTCGACCTCAGAAAACATCTACTGCTGAGTCGGTCCTCTGTCGCCCCCTACTGGTTACTGCTGTCTCCTGCAGCCCGGCTGTAACTTACTCATCGTCTCCTCCGCACAGATGGAGCAGAGTCCTCTTATAATCTCCTGATGTGTCATCCTGAGCCACACAGTGAGGCAAACATTAGCGGAGCACGGAATTTTTTTTAAACTTGTGTTTAAAACGCTTTCAGACCTTGATCATGTTGTAGAGCGACTTCTCGTACAGGAGACGGAAGCACTCTCGGATGTCCAACATGTCGATTTCAGAGCGAGAAATCATGATCCGGATCAGAGTGTTGTCAGCTGTGCCAAGACCCTAACAATCCAACGAAAAACAAATCTTTGAAGACAAAGCAATGCTCTCGTTGAAAGCAGATTAAAATCCGTGGCAGCGGTTCTGCGGACACCGTGGGAACAGGTCGTGTTTACCTTCATGGACTTGTAGAGGCGCTTGGCAAAGAACATGGGAACGCTCCTGATGCAATGCACTGTAGGAAAACACCAGAAACAAGTCCTGGGTCAAATCAAGAACTCAGATGTTTCTGTGTGGAAAGGAAGCGACATGTTTGAGATTCTCTTACCTACAGCCAGCATCAGCCTCTCAAAGTCTCCAGACAGCTCACTCTTTATGCTGTCCTCGATGGACACCTCCGCAATCTTCTCATATTCATCAAATACTAAGCAAACAAACAGATAAAAGAGATATTATGTAGCAAAGCACATCATCTCAGCTAGAATACTGACAGGGTTTTGAGACTGTTTAATGCTCCGAGGTGTAGACTTCCAAACAAAAAAAGGACAATTTCCTGTTTTAATGCAGCTTTGTAAGACTGTTGTTCTCTGCCATCTGGTACTGACAGTACTGATGTTGTTCAAGTTCCTTTGCCGTCAGAAAGACCTGAGGTCGCAGCGTTAGTGTCATAAACAACTCTGTCATGTTATTTGGTCTGTGAGCTCACCCATACGGAGGTGCGTCACGCTGCGGTTTCCCAGGATCAAGATGAATTTGGCCTCGTCCGTCCCCCACTGTTCCTCCCCTGCTGCATACAGGGCCTACACAAAGATAAAACTTAACATTTAGCAGGAAATAATGAAAAACAACACACAATTACATACAGCCAAGTTCAAGTTTAGTATTTTTGATCAAACTTTTTTTTTTTTGCTGTAAAAACAGTTTTGTGCCATCTCTGAGCCACTACTTGTTCCTGCACGTTTTTAGAGTCAAGTATAGAACCTGACCTCAACTGAGACTAAGAATGTTTTTAAAACTTTTTTCTCTTATTTCAGTACTGTTAGCAAAGTGCCCTACGGTAAAGCATCTCTTTATACCTTAATAAAGTCACAACAAACCTGCAATAATATAAAATACATGCTGAATGGAGGCAGCACACATGTTCAAGTGAATACAAAACAAAGTTCTCACTTGTGCGTCCTGCTGCACCAAGTCCGCATCGACCACCCCGGACTCATCTCTGGTCCCCTGGAACACCAAACCAACAAACCTCAGTTTTTAAAAACATGTTAAAGACTGCTTAGATCAGGGGTCTGCAACCTGCGGCTCTGGAGCCATATGCGGCTCTTTGGTCCCTCCACAGCGACTCTTTCGATCTTTGACTAAAATTAACATAAAACTGAATTTTATAGGATGTTATACCCACAACAACAATAAAAAGACTAGTTTTAGCAGTTTTCCTGTCATTTCCTTTGCAAATATGTGGATACAAGTACTAATAAACAGAGTAAATTATACTCACTTTAACTTTATGCTTTATTTTTTCAAAGTAGTATACTAAGTTTTATCCATCCATCCATCCATCTATATATTATCTTTACCCGCTTCTACCATTTTGGGTCACAGGGGTCGCCGGTGTCCATATCTAGCTATCACTGTGTGAGAGGTGGAGGACACCCTGGACAGGTCTCCAGTCCAACACAGGGACACATAGAGACAAACAACCATTCACTCTCTCACTCACCTAGGGACAATTTAGATCACATGTGTCAAACTCAAGGCCCGGGGGTCAAATGTGGCCCTAGTTGACATCTTATCTGGCCCCCAAGATGACGTGTGAAATGTAAAATACTTATATCTATTGAATTTTTTCCGTAATCTTTGATTATGATGTCAAAAGCACAACAGAGAACATCAAATGAGACCAATCAAACTCTTGTTGAGGAACCTGTGACCAAGAAAAGATGCTGGATATCTGATTTGAGTTAATGTAGTTTTTGAAATTGGTCCTTAGCTTGAAAAATGTTTTAATTTTGCCCCCCTTTTGTTAATGAGTTTGACACCCCTGATTTAGAGTTACTAATCAGCCTAACATGCATGTTTTTGGTCTGTGGGAGGAAACCATAGTACTCGGAGAAAACCCACGCATGCAAGGAGAGAACATGCAAACTCCACCCAGAAAGGTCCCTGGACTGGGATTTGAACCAGGGTAACCTGCTCACTGAGAGGCAGCAGCTCTACCTGTGGCGCCACCGTGCTGCCTGATACTCAATTTCTCCACAATAAAAAAATCACATATGTCTGCACAGTTCTTTTTGTTTTTAAAGTTTTTTATTTACACGAATCCAGTTTTCTGTGATGAACTTGTGATCTGTCCAGGGTGCCCCCACCTCTCACACAGTGACTGCTGGATATGGGCACCAGTGACCCTCGTGACCCGAAAAGGAAGAAGTGGGTAAAGATAATGGATGGATGGATAGAATCCAGTCTTTTCTTTTGTCTCAAAATGTAAAAATATCAATAAATGTTAACAATCATTGGATGTTTTTATGTTTTTCCACACCTACTGGCCAGAAAAGCTCCCTTCAACAAACTTAAAGTGGTCCATGGGCCACCAGTTGATAATGACAATTCTAGCAGGTTTTGCGGCTCTGGACGTATTTAATTTAATCAACGAAGGGGCAGAAATGGCTCTTTTGATCGCAAAGGTTGCAGACCCCTGGTTTAGATGAACAGATGTGTCGCTGATGAGAACTTCAGCTCCTCTGTGAACTGACCTGAAGCAGAACAATGAGCATCTTCTTAAAGTGACCTGAGGTGTCCGCTGTAATATCGTCCTCTATGTCCCTGTCGTAGGCTGGACACACACACATCAACGTAAACACACCTGTGCACTGAATAAGGTGTTCCTTCACATGCCTTACCATCCTTGTAAGCTGCAACCATGTCGTGGATCTGTTGGTTGTTTCTAGATGCCAGGATCTCAATCAGACATCTCTCATTTGTTCCCATTCCCTTGAAATATAACAAAAAAACACAACGTTAAATTTGAAGCACTTGCTGCTTTTCATGAAACTGACTGCAGGTTTTACTTTGACTGCATCGTGGATCTCCTTGGCATCGTGGTAAGCCGGGGTTCTCATCAGGCTCACGATGAGACGCTCAAATTTCCCCGTGAGCTCATATTTCAGATCTTCAATCAGATCCTGATAAAACATTTAAATTTAGGGGGGAAAAGCAAAAAAAAAACATCTATAGTTAAATCAAAGTTACAGTTTATTCAAACTCTGTCTGTGATGTTAAACATGAAATATGGACGCACCTGTCCAAAACTGCATTTGTAAGCTGAAATGACTTCCTGCCTCTGAGCGTTGCTTCGAGAGGTGATCAGGTCCAGGATGGTTTCTTTGTCGCTGCCTGAGGAAAGAGACATGTTTTGCTCACCAAGCAAACACTAATAAGTGGTAGTCGATATCCCCAATAACTGAGGTAGAGCAGAGGGAGCAATTTTATCCAACATCTGGTGCAACGGTGAAGTCAGGGGTTTGGACAATGGTGTCCTTGGCCACTACAGATGAATCTTCAGCCACCCCACTCATTTGAAGAAACAAATACTTTTAAGCAATATAAAAACTAGAAAGCATAGTTTCATCAAATGATAGGGGTAGTCAGTTTCATATATACATGTATGTGGTAGCAGCCAGTGGTGCGGCACGGTTCAGCTATTCCACTAATCTGCAATTAGCAGAAACAACTTTCCAATTGGCGGTTGTGCGCTTTTACTAACTTTGAAAACATTTGGTGGAATTAGGTAAATTCTGCTAAATTAGGAAAATGTGAATTAAATTTGAATTAGATTCAGTAAATTAAAGTCTGCTAATTTATTCAACAATTTCCTGTGGGATCAATAACGTTATATCTTATCTTATTTAAAAGACAGTCCTCAGTAAAAAGCTAGAAGGATGAATTTCATGGAGCTATGCTACGCTATGTAAAGCTGAACACATCTACATGCCAACCAGTGATGTCACCAACCATGTAGTGCTTTTTCCTACTCATATCTACTACAAGCAGTCTCTGACTCATGGTGTCAGTTTACAGCCAATAACAGACTTTAACATGAATGCCAAACCAGAACAGGAAAATAACATGAAAAACCCATTTTCACACTCAGAAACATTGTAAACAGCCAGAAACATTGTAAACAGGCAGAAACATTGCACACATTATTCCTACCAAACATGCTTGCAATGCTCACACTGTCTCTGGGACGTGACTCTCTCACACACATTTACTTTAGTAAAAACAAATTTATTACTGAGAGAATATTGATGATGATGCACAGCAACTTTGTAGTTAGTTTATAAAAATAGTTAACCACAAAGAGGATCACCAAAGTTAGTTAATTTGGTTTAGTAAATGACACAAGGGTGACGTCTGACACACATTGAATGCATCACTCTGCTTCAGCACAGCAGAGTTCTGCTCCGCCTCTTTGGTTTTGATGGACCGGATTAATTTCTGAAAACTCACCTCTGAATGGGATATGGATGCTTTACCTGTGATTTATGAACCATTTTGAGTTGTGTTCACTCAGAACATTGTCACATTACAGACAGTCTAGAGCAGGGGTCTGCACCCTTTACCATCAAAAGAGCCATTTCACTAAATTAAATGTGTCCAGAGCCACAATACCTGCTACAACTGGGATTCTCAACTGGTGGCCCACAGACCACTTTAAGATTATTGGAGGGCGCTTTTCTGGACAGTAGAGGTTATTTTATAAAACTAAGAATATCTAATAATTTTCAACATTTATTGATATTTGTACATTCTAAGACAAAATAAAAGACGAGATTCTTGTAAAGAAGGAAAAAAAATAATATAGTTTTTGCCCAGTTTCTAAAAACTAAAACAATGTGTGGTTCCAGAGCTGCAGATTGCAGACCCCTGATGTAGAGTGTCAGCAACCACAGTGTATAATAAAAGTTAGCACTTTAGCATTAGCTTCCGATAAATTTTTAAAATCTGTTTAGCATTTGGCGTTAGTGAATCTAACTTTTTGGTTAGCAGTGCCCACTACTGGTGGCAGCCATCTTGGATTTTGGTGTGGCAACTCAATTTTGAAAAGAGCCTTTCTTACACCTAGATGTACCCACACACAAAAATGGAAGTTAGTAGGCCTAATACATTTAAGTTTCAAATTACCAACTCAACATGCAAGGACGGGGGGGGAGTAAATTTCCAATTCCTCCTCTTTGCTCTGCGATAGAGAAAAATAAGACCGCGAGTCACCGAGAGGCGAGGAACTCACCGAGGCCTTTCATGGCGTTGTAAAGAGTCTCAGCATCAGCAGTTGGATCAAAGTCCGGAGCGTCTGATATTGTGCCTCTGAACTCCTGGAAGAAAAAACAAATCATGAAAAAACTTAAAAGTTTTGGTAACCAATGAAAAAGGAATAGTTAAAGCAGAAATAATAATTAAAAAAAGGACAATTTGAATAAATTTTAAATACAAAACACATTTTTATTTGTCTCTTATTATCTCAGAAGGTCATGATTATTTCCCATCCGATGTTTATCTGCTAAAAGCTGAGAGGAATCCAAACTGTGAGACCAAGTCAGTCCAAGCTGAGTGTTTGATGCTTGTTGTGTGTTGTAAAATGCACCATAATGTCCGACGTTCCATTTAGCCAGAGTCAAAGTCTCTACAATTAACAAATATGTAACATTAATCTGCTTATTCTTGTGCAAACACGACGAGCCAAAAACTGTCACTGGAAACCAGACACAGTTTAATTTGTTTTTTTAAATCGATACGATTATCCAACAGTTTAGTTTCAGCAACTAAGATTAAACATTAAAAACAGCTATCAGCTGCATTAATCTTTGGAAACATGCAAGTTATGGCTGGCATCTATGATTTTTAGTGTAAAGAAGGTTTGAAAGTGTCAATTATTTACAGTATAAAGTATAAAAACCCAAAACATAGCAGACAACTTTTAGAAACAATAGTTGGAGCAAACAGACACACTAAGTCTACAAGGTTCAAAGTTAAGATGAGATCAACGTATTCTTGACAACTCCACCCGCACAATTTACCCAAAATAAAGCAGTTCTCTGAAAAAAGAGGGCTTGGTGGTGCAGAGGTTAGAGAAGGTGGGCCTGTGATCGGAAGGTCGCTGGTTCAACTCCCTGGACTGACAACGCCAATATGTGGGTGGGAAAGGTGAAACACCCACACCCATCTCCACCCTCATTTGCCCCACTCTGGGCCCTTGAGCAAGGCCCTTAACCCACCATCTGCTCCCCCAGGCACCATAGATGTCAGCTCTCTGCTCCACACAGAGGCTGTGGTAGCTCAGTGGTCTGTGGTTGTGTCAGGAAGGACATCTGGTGTAAAAACAATCACCAAGTCTTCGTGCGAGTCAGTTTACTGTGGCGACCCCTGAAGAAGGGAGCAGCCGAAAGAAGAAGAAAAACGAATGATCTGAAAAACCGTTGGAGGCAAACACATTTTTAGATTTATTATGGTAACTACTCAAAAAAAACAGGCTCAGAGCTCTCATGGAGACCCCTTACTGGGGTTTTCAGTGTTTGCTCCTTTAAAACAATATTTCTGAAACTTTTTGGCTGCTGACCCAAAAAATAAAGGTGGCAAAGACAAATTATTGCTGCTTGAAGTATAAAAACAGAATTAATACAGCACCTAAACAAGAGCACAATGACACAGACAGCCACGGAAACTATTCTATTTGATCCGTAATTCTGGTCCCATTTTTTGTTACTTTTACAGCAAAATTATAACTTACTGGTAATAATGTTTTTAATATTTCAAGACCCCAACCTGATGTTTTACGACACAAGTCGATGTTAAAAGCCCAACTCTTACAGAGTTGATATAAACCTCTCAAACTTCATTTGAATGATTAAGAAGTTTACTTCTCTTCCTTCTGTGGAGTGAAGGCTGGGCTGTGTTAAATACTGATGGTCTACAGTGGCTGACGACTCGTGTCCGTCCCGACCCCAGCAGATTAAAGTGGCAGTGTGTGTGTGTGTGTGTGTGTGTGTGGTAGGGATCAGGTTGCACACAGACCACCTGTCTTTACAAACCTCAGCATACAGCAGCTCAAAAACAAGAGCAGACACCAGAGAGGACATAATATATAATGTACACGTCAGACTCTGCACTTAAATAACATAAATAACAAAAAAGACAATGAAAAATACAATAACCCATTTAAAAAAACAACATGTAATTAATTTAATTAGACATAAAATAAAACCATTCAAAAGATGTGAAAAAGTAAAAGTTGTGGACCAGCCTGGATCTCAGAATGGCTAAAAACAAATGGTTAGATCTGAGGGATCTGGAGGGCACATGAGGCTGCAGGAGGTCTTACAGGTATACCTGTCCATTCAGGCCTTGTAGGTCAACAAAAACCCTGAAATCGGTTCTAAAACAAGCAGGAAGCCAAAAAAAAAACTGAAGCCAGCAGTGTGGAAACATGTTCACACTGTTTGTTTGTGTAAAAAGCTGCAGCGTTCTGAATTAAGTGCAGTGTTGAGAGGCCGGCCTGGCTGACAACAACAGAGTTATTAAGGTGTAAAAACAGTGTGCGTTGCTCATTCAGTTATTAAAGGATCAGAAACAGTTCCACTTTAGATAAAATCCTTAATTTAGATAAGTACTGAGTTCATCTGAAAAGATTATGTTAAAAATTATAAATGCTGTGTGCCTTGGGAATCAGGACTCGGTCTAGAAATGACACTAAATATCTGTCCACATGAGCTCTAGTTGCAAAGGAGAAACTCAGAGGGGTTAGCTAATAGTTGTGCTCCATAACCAGACTGAGTGTAATCAGTAAAACAAGCCTATAATAAAGTATTTCTTTGCATCTTACACATTCACTATAGCAACATGTTCCATCATCTGATCAGATATAAACCTACAGAAATAAAAATCTTACTGCTGCAGCTATAACCACTTTCAGTGCACACAGCAGCCGTGCTGGATTTGAAGTTTGTTAGTGAAAAACTAACTTTCCAAGACAGAACAAGACAAAAACTAAGTATGAAACACCAAAAACATTTTAAATTCAATTTCAAATGGGCCAAATAGTTGAAAAACACACAGAACAAAACAATATGCAGCAAGCGAACTTGCTGGGTAATTTACAATATTTATTAGGAGGAACTACTTTGTGATGATTTTTTTATTTTTATTTTGATGCCCTAACCTGCCCAAATGGACCGGCTGCCCTTGCACAGAGCACTACTTCAAAAAAATCAGAACCATTACTTTCTTTGTGTTTCATTTACAGATTAAAAAAACCTTCATACTGTCAATAGATTAAAGTTGTTCAAACATACTTTTATTTAGGATAATCCAGCATGTGCCTTGGTCAGCTGTTTTTTGAGTTTGTTGCAGCTGCAGCTGTGGGGAATGTTGCAGCTTTAAGCAGCCAGAGTCTCTTCACCGCACGTGCACAGTGACCATCACTCTGCACGGCAGCTGGAGAGCAACAAGGCCACAAATACAACCCGAGCAACGAGCTGTGGACTAAACTGTATGTGTTCATCATGACTGCACTGAGATCACATTTAGATTTTAAAGAGAAATTGCATTTCCTGTGAAAATGCGGTTTGAATGCTTATTGCAGAAGAACTTGCTGAAAAACAGCTGAAATTAGCTTAAAAAAACATTCTGAAAAGTAACTGAAGAACAAGCCTAAATTAGAAGAAAACAGAAAGAACACATATTTGCTGAATTATGTTTAAAGAAGCAGAAATTATAACAAAAATTAGGAAATTAGCTAAAAAAACTGAAATTAGTGGAAAAAGCTGAAAAGTAGATGAAAAGGCAGAAAGAAGCCTAAACTCCCAGATGGAAGCAGAAAGAACTGAAATGAGAAAAAAAAAAGTGGAATTACCTGAAAAACCTAAAATTAGCATAAAAACAGCTAAATAGAAGCTGAAAGAGCAGAAAAAGCTGAAACTAGCAGAAAAAAACTGAAAGGAGCACAACAAGCTGAAATTAGCATAAAAAAGTTAATTAGGCTGAAAGTAGCAGAAATTACCATGAAAAACTTGGATTTATCTGAAAACAGCTGAAATTAGCTAAAAATGCTTAAAAGGTAGCTGAAAAGGTAGAACAAGCTTAAATTATAAGAAGAAAGCAGAAAGAATATGTTTGCCCAATTAGGCTGAAAGAAGCAGAAATTAGCACAAAAAGTGGAATTTATCTAGGGAAAAAAAAGCTAAAATTGGTATAAAAAACAGCTGAAAAGTTGCTTAAAAAGTTGAAATGATGCTAGAAGGAAGTGGAGAGAGCATATTTTTGCTGAATGAGGCTGAAAAAAATTTTATTATAGCAAAAAATATGGAATTGGTTGAAAAAGCTATAATTAGTATAAAACAGCTAAATAGTAGCTGAAATAACAGCAAAAGCTGAAAAGCATAAATGAGCTGAAAGGAGCATGACAAGCTGAAATTAGCAGTTATAAGAAGCACAAAAATGTTGTAGTAAGCAGAAAGAATCTGAAAGGAGCACAAAACTGCTAAAGCAACAGCTGAAATTAGCTGAAAGTAGCTGAATAAAGATTAAATTTTCACAAGCAAGCTGAAAGAAGCTAAAGCAAAACAAAATGTGAAAGGCGAAGTAATGGGTTGTAAACAGAGCTAAAGATTTGAAGGATGTAAAATGAGCTTCATTTATTTTCTATGAGAAAAAAAGTGTCAGAAAAGGCTAAATATTGCAAAAAGCTACATTTGCACCAATACCAAAAGTTATTGCACCCTTCTCCTGAACGAGCTGAACGTTTTGATATGACTTGTTGAAATAGCACAAAAATTGTGGAACGATAACGATGCCAAAAAACTGGTGTTCGCACTACTGTACTATTTGCTCCGTTCCCCATTAACTGAAGCCTGGTTACCTGTCCGTAAGCAAGTCCATGGACTGAAAACATCTCATCAGGTGTGTCTGCGTGCCAGCCCAGGTACAGGTGACACCCTACACTGCTGCTTTATGATATGGAGGGCTCAGACGGTGCCAGGTGACAGCAGATGACCCCGCATTCATCGACACACAAATTAAACAGACACTAGATCTGCTCGGATCACTCTTACACAACACAAGATAAGAAGGGTCCATCCACTTACCATGTTTGGATGTGGTTGTCAGCACTGCTCAGAAATCAATCGTTTCAGGCCTAAAGAGAGAAAGAGAGAGAGAGAAATGCTGACATAGAGGGTGCAGTGAAAAACCATCCCTGTGCTGCTGGAGGCAGACATTTTCTCTGAAATGTGCAGAAAATGATTCTGCAAAGACGCATCATGATGATCACCCTTCTCTGCTGAGTGAATTAAGTAACCGTGGGCTTCCTGTGGGAGAAACTCTTAATGCAATCAGGAACACAGTTTGCTCCAATTCCTCACATGACCCAAACGGTTCCCTGACAAATAGAAAGGACATTAAATAAATCTAACAAGGTTAAGTGAGGTCGTCTGGATGAATCTGTCCAGATGACCTCACTTAACCTTGTTAGATTTTTCTACCTGGATTATTGAGCATGCATCAGGAGGACATGAATGAAGCTGCAGGGTCACTGCTCCATAAACACCAACTCATAAAGCAGCCATTCATGCTCAGAGTTCACGCGCCTGCTCACTGACTTTATGAATAAAGAAAGTAAATTAAACATGAGTTAAGAAGCGGGTAAAAGATAATAGATGGATGGAGTTGATAAAAAATAAAAACGGAAAATGTTTACTTGTTTCTCACACATTAAAAGGACCCATGCTCTGCGTTTGCTTCAGACTGCAGTGAAGGTTTCCCAAAATAGCATGAGGAGTTTCACCTAATGTAAGAATCACAGTGTGTGTGTGTGTGTGTGTGGGGTGGGGGGGGGTGGGGGGAGGGGCTCCAAAGAGCCACACCCTGCTGTACCCCCCTGCAGAATAAACCTCACAGGCTTTAAATCTAACTATTTTTGTTGTTGCTGTTTTTCTAAATGAACTTCAGCCTCTGTCTATCTCGGCTGTCCCTCTTAGATCAACCTCCAGCTGTTCTCCAGAACAGCCCCTCTCTGTGGACCGAGCCTCGGACACCCCCCACAAATGAATCAGCAAACTTTTCTCTGTGAATATCCGAGGCATTGCCACATCTCTGTGTATCTCGCGATAAACCTGAAGAAATCAAACAGGAGCCAAAGCTCTAAACAACATATGGGCTTACCTTGTCTGCGTGAGAACAATCGGTGGTCCTGCTGCCTCTAGAGGAGCCGCTGCTCTGTCTGCCCCCGGTTCTCCTCCCCTCTTTGCGCGTCCTGTGACGCAGCGACTGCGGTGCTCTGCATCTCAGCGCGCGACAGGAGTGGGTGTGTGCTTGTGCGCGCGCGTGTGCGAGAGTGATATCCAAAAAGCAACTGTATTTCTATAAATAAATTACTTTAAAATAAGTCCCCACCTGGCTGAGTGGCAGGACAGTACGGTGCGCATTTGGATCATTTTTACGCATGTGGAGAGCGCAACGTCCGCAGCCTTCTGTGCGGCTTTCCTCGCTCTTTAAAGGAGTCAGAGTCGGTTTTGTAGTCGACGGGGACACGTGAGGCTTCAGTAAACCCCAAACAGAGTTTGTGAGCTGTGAGGTGTGATTTGAAGACAGCAGTAGCTCGCTGGCACCGATCCTGAAAACTCGTCTGCTCTATTTCTGTCGCGACAGGAGTTGATTCCAGTAAGTGAGGGAGAGACACGCAGGCATAGCTGAAGAGGAGGAGGAGGAGGGAGTGGGATACAATGTTGCTAAGAGCAAGTCAAAGTGTCTAAAATGTTTGGGGGTTTTTTAAAGAAAAAAAAAGATTTAGTTAGATTGGTGCAGCCAAAAGAGGCTCAAACTTTGATTAAAAACAGAAAAACAAAAACACTTTCATGTCTGACTCTTCTTGTAACCTGCATAATCCACGTGCTGTGTGTAACAATGTGTTGCAGGGAGGGTTTCAGTCTGAAAGGCCCCAACAATGTTTTTAGAGAACAGAAGAGATGATCAGGAGCAAGAGGTGTCTCCCAGGAAGAGCAAACTATCACAGGTCACTGCCCTGCAGAGCACAACGACTCACTGATAACGTCAGAGTTCAAACAATGGTCTGAATCCACATTTTTAAAGCTGTAGGTAAATGGACTGTAGCATCTTTCTATCTAACCAAGATACTCAAAGTGCTTTACAACACAGTCTGTGCTCTTATTTACCTCCACACACACATTCGTACAGCACTCTACTAGAGCTCTACAACGACTAATCAGTGCTTTAGATCAGGGGCTTCCAAACTTTTCCATGCCATGGCCCCCCCAAACAGCATTAACTTCTGGCTGAGGCCCCCCTCGTAAACCCACAAACAATGCTACAAAATATATAAAGAAACATCAACTTTTAGAATGTTTTAACTTTTATTTACTATATTCAGTTAATTATCACAGCTGCTGAGCATAAAAATGTTATTAACTAACATGTTTTAAACGTGTTATATTCACACTGAATAAAACAACTTTTCAACAAACTGTTGACCAGAAGAACAAAACAAAATAAACATAACCTCTCTCTCAAGCGTGTTTATCTAGAAATGACAGATACAGATTGCCCTAGGGTGCAATTTATTTTATTTATTTATTTTTTGTGGCTTTTTTAAAATATTTTTCTCTCCATCTTTCTGAGTCCCCACTAGCAGCCCCTGGCAGCCCCCAGGGGCTGCGGCCCCCACTTTGAACAAAACTGCCACATGCATACACCAATGGGACACACATCGGAGGCAATGAGGGGTTCAGTGTCTTGCCCAGGGACACTAGCATGTGACTGCTGGTGGAATAGAACCCCCAACTCTCCCATTGGAGCTCGACCACTCTAACCACTCACCACAGCTGTCCCTATGTGGCATATGGTGTAGATGTAAACGTTCACTGTTGGTCCAGATGAGATTATAACTTAGTCTAATCCTGTATTGTGCACCACATAGTTTAAAGACACTGAAAAAAGTGATCAATCATCAGATAATGACAAAATAAAAAGAGGTCAATATTAAAGTATTTTCTGTCGCCACACTGGAAGCAAAAAACACTCGTTTGAATTTTTACATGTTCTCCCGCCGCAATAAAGTGCAAAAAAAAAAAAAAAAGAATGAACAACTGCAACTTTTAGAGTCAGTTTAATTCAAGATGGCCACCACAGCTAGTCAACCTTAGTAAATCAAAAATGGCTAAAACTCTTTTTTTTTTTAACAATTAATGCTTGGTGTGGTGGTAGATGAGAGTCAACCCTGACTTATCCTCTCAAACACTAACATGTAGCATAAGTTCACAAAAGAAATGGAATTATTTGATGTTTTTTATCATTTTAATTTTTGCTGATTTTCTGTCTTCTCTCTACTGTTCAAAGAAAAACAGAACCATCTGATGCAAACACTGACAGGTGGACCACTGGTTTTGTTTGATACTGACCTCCTCTGTTTTCAAAAGGCACTGCAGACTTAACATAAGAAAAGCTGTAAAAACCTAAAGGCCATAAAAAGAAAATCAAACGATTAAACAATAAAATCTACAAAATAAAACAGTTGTTTTTGCACAAGTCGGAGTCAGAGTCAGAGATTCTTTATTGTCATTCGCACCTCATGTGGTACATGTGGTGGAGCGAAATTATGTACACAGGGTCCCAGTTACATCCAACAATACAAATGTTAAAGAAAAACAGTAATAACATCTAAGTTTTTAACTAAGAAAAACATGAACTAAATATACACTAAGCACTAATAGCATAAAAACATTACGTCGAACATCAGCATAAACATGAAAATGAGTCTGTGAGAGCAGATGAGCACGCATGAACACATCAACATGAAACAGATCAGCAGCAACATGATGTGATTTTTTCACAGTGATTATTCTAGTTAGAGATTCATGAGTCTAACAGCCTCAGGGTAGAAGCTGTTCCTCAGTCTAGTGGTTCTACACTTAATGCTCCTCAACCTCCTTCCTGAGGGGAGTGGGGCAAAAAGTGTGTTGTTCCTTCTGAAGTCCACAATCATCTCCTTTGTCTTCTTCACATTGATGTGCAGGTTGTTCTTTTTGCACCAGCTCTCCAGGTGTTCCACCGCTTGCCTGTAGCTGGACTCATCATTGTTTGTGAAGCATCCCACCACCGCTGTATCATTTGCAAACTTTACAATGTGACAGCCTGGATGGGTAGCTGCACAATCATACGTGAGCAGAGTAAACAGGAGGGGGCTCAACACACATCCCTGAGGAGAGCCAATGCTGAGGGTGAGAGCAGTGTGGACCACAGAGGAGATTGCATCCTCTGTTGATCGGTTCTCACGGTATGCATACTGATGAGGGTCCTCGTTGATGTTGATGGTTGTTTTGATGTGAGTCATGACCAGTTTTTCAAAGCATTTAGCGACTATCGGGGTGAGGGCCACTGGCCGATAGTCATTCAAACCAGTCACTATAGAGCTTTTTGGGACTGGGATGATGGTGGCAGTCTTCAGGCAGGTGGGAACTGTCTCCAGGGTAAGTGAGGTGTTAAAGATGTCTGCCAGCACCTCGCAGAGCTGATCAGCACATTCCTTCAACACTTTTCTGGGGATGTTGTCTGGGCCGGTTGCTTTGTGCTGATTAATCCTCCTGAAAGTACTCCTTACTGCTGCTGAGGTCACGCTGATATGTTCTTCATCTGGTGGTGAGGTGAGTCTGGTGCCTGGTGGTCTGTTCGGGTCTTCAAAGCGTGCATAGAACTTGTTGAGGGCATCAGGCAGAGATGGGTCTTTGGGGCATTGTTCACTCCTTCCTTTATAATCTGTTATGCACTTAATGCCCCTCCACATGCTCCGAGAGTCTTTTGAGATGAATTGACCCTTGATCCTCTGTGCATATGTGGCCTTGGCCCTCTTAATACGAGCAACCAGCTCTTTCCTTGTCCTACTCAGCTCCTCTGAGCTTCCAGACCTGAAGGCAGTGTTCCTGGCTTCCAGCAGGGTGCGCACCTCTGCATTCAGCCAAGGTTTTCTGTTTGGGTAACTTTTAACATATCTGATAGTGGAGACGGTGTCAGTACATGTACTAATGTAACCCAGAACTGAGGATGTGTATTGGTCCATATCAAGCGATCCTCCATTTTCAGCAGCTTCTCTGAAAACCTGCCAGTCTGTTCGATCAAAACAATCTCTCAGTATGGAGCCACTGTCCTGGATCCAACATCAAGTCAAACACACCACCAGGATTTAATAATATAACTAAAATTTGGACTCGTTACCAACATTTTTGCCGTACATTCTTAAAAGATTTGAGTGCACCCACTTTGACTTTTTTGCAACCTTACAAACTTTTAAATGATTGTTTCATTTAGCAGAGAGGCACTTTGGTATGTTACGTGCAGTTAAAAAAAATTAATCTCCATTTTTTTGTTCCTTTAAACATGCAGTTGACAGTGTCACACATTTTAAATGCAAAAACACTGAATAAAGTGCGCTCAGAAACATTGTTGTTATTATTTTTCTGCATTCTCTGAGGGATTTGCAGTTCTCACTCTCGGTGCAATAATAATGAGCACATTATGATCCCAACTGGTCGGCACTGAGAAAGGCTACTTTGTAAGTAATTCCATTGAGTGGGAGGGTCACACGGGTCGGTCTTGGATATATTGGAGCAATGTTTCCCTCATGCAAGTCCACAGCCTGGACCTCTGCGCCTCACAGTCACCGGCTGCTGCTCGCTGGACCGAAAGATAAAGGTAAAGAGCTCGTCTGTCTCAAATGATGAAAAATACCATCATCAAATCTGTTTTCAATCCGTAGCCTCTGCATCAGCTTTGTTTAATATGAAGCAGTTTCGGGCTAATGTTGCATTCAATGTGAGTAATGTACAGGAGAGAGCAATAAAGGTCACATTAAAGGTTATTATCCGAGGGTTAACAGGCTCATGATCAGCCCTCGGATCATAAAGATGAAGGAATCACGTGTGTAGATGCTGTTATTTTGTTAAACATTACCCCAGTTCCTCAGCTGGACAGATCCAGCCTGAGGACAGACTTGGTCAAACTTGTCCACACAGACTTCCTTCCCGCCTGTTGATGCCAGGGGGGATTATAGGTGAGCTGATACCCCATGATGGGGGGAAGAGAAGGTAAAAGCTAAAGAGAGAGGGAGCCATGAAAGCTGCTTTGTCCTCTGTTTCATAAACTTCCAGGGCTGAAAGATGCTCACAACTTTAGATGGAAACACGGCCCCTAAAAAAACACTTTGCGGAGACCATGAATTAAATCTGATCAGGAATACTGTGAAGATAGTTCAGTCATTTGTTCTCCTCTTCCTGCTGAATGTGAACCTTGAAGTCTTGGATCATCCGGGAAGCCTTGTCTGTGAAACAGTTATCAAATCCATAGATCTCTCTGAGATTAAGAGCAGCCAAGAAGGAATCAGGAACAAAATTTGGTTTTGTTTTTACTATAATCCCAATCTAAAGTTCCAATCCCTGATCAAACCCACTTTTACGATCATTTCATCTCGGTCATTTTAAGAACAGAACCTGTCATTTCTAGAAATGAGCAGAAAAGGTGTGGTCATTTACAGCAGGCTCAATAATCTTATCAGTGAAGAAGGCTCTAATAGCCCTGTTTTATCTCTGATTTACAGTTTTCTGTGTTTTTGGCAGCGTTTGCTCAGAAGGCCCTGACCCGGTCCGAACAGAGGGATTTACTGTATCTCTGACGTGATAGTGCACCGGTGAGGAGTGCACACTTTACAGAGGACAGAATAATTAACTACATCTGGCGGCTTTTCTAACAGTGCGTGAAACTCACGTCTGAGTAAAGTGCAGTCCTCGTGCGGGGCGTTGTTTAACCGTCCTCTGAAAGTCCAGGCATCAGCACTATCATATCACAGGTAGATAAAGAAGGATATGAATCAAACACATCTGGGTTTGAAGGGGCTGCTGGAGCCTGCTGTGTCTCACGCAGACCTGTGAGGCATAAACCTACAAAAGTAAGGTGAGTTAATGTTTCTTTTTATTAGTAATTCAGTGATAAATTGACAGAACATGTCCTTATTCTCCACAAAACATGCTACTCTGTAACAGAACAACTCTGAATGAGTTTGTGTTTTGTTCAAGGTGCACCAATATGCTTGTTTTAGGTTATTTTTAATGCCTTTATATAGCTTTTAGGAAGAACTAGACTTGGGTTTTGAAAAAGATTATTTTCAGAAGATAAAATGTTCCTCTTCAGGACTGACCTGACAATTATTCACTGACACATCCTGTGACCCGCCTTTCCCCCTGTCTCTCTTGACATCATCATCCTGTCGCTTTTCATAAAACTCCTGGTTTCGTTCTGATCCGAACCCTCAGAAACATGTCGTGTGGTGTGGTCAAATCCTTTCTGGTGAGCCTGTCTCGGACGAAGCCCATCGAGCCCGACGGGGAGCAGTCCACCTTTAACCGATGCCTCACCACGCTGGACCTGGTGGCCCTCGGAGTGGGCAGCACCTTGGGGGCCGGAGTCTACGTCCTCTCAGGAGAGGTGGCCAGAGACACAGCTGGACCCAGCATCATCGTTTCTTTCTTCATCGCAGCCTTGGCATCCATATTTGCCGGACTGTGCTATGCTGAGTTTGGATCCCGGGTTCCCAAAACGGGCTCGGCTTACCTTTACAGCTACGTGACGGTCGGAGAGCTGCTGGCTTTCATCACCGGCTGGAACCTGCTGCTCTCTTACGTCATAGGTAACCACGATCTACTCGATTTGTTTACCACACACTACAACACTAATTATATGAGAACACTTAGAAATAATAACTGTACTAATTAATATTTGGTTGAACTGGTCTGGCCTGTAAATATTGTCTGCTATCATAAAAGCTGGGCAATAATGTAACTATATGCATTTTTTCTGTTTTATCTCATCATCTCATGAACCTCTAAATATTTTTTAGTGACATTTTCAGAAAGTAATCACTGCAGGTGTATCTGTGATTAACTTTTGGAGTCAACCTGATTTAAAATGGTGGTCAAAGCTAATCAACATCAGCGAACATCAAAAATGGCTACAGCTCAGTCAGTTTTGCAGAAACTCAGCTAAAGTTTGGTGTGGCAGTAGCTGAGAGTCTTCCCCAACACATACTTTAGGCTCTATCTACGGTGGCCCTGAGGTGTACATGAACAACATTTGCAAAAACAGAATCACATTTGAAAAAACACAATTATATTAAGCCAAAGCGGAAGTGGCCAAAGCAGAAGTGGCCAAAGCGAAAGTGGCGAGAATCACATTTGAAAAAACGGAATTTCATTAGAAAAAACAAAATTATATTAAGCCAAAGCGGAAGTGGTGTTTTGTGTGTGTGTGTATATATCTTTTTTTACTTTATTAACAAAACAACAGAACAATGTACAGTGCACACACAAGAGTTACAGTTAGCAGGCTAGGCGCTACTAATACTGCGCCTGTAAAACTAAAATGTAAAACTAAAATGTAAAACTAAAATGTAAAACTAAAATGTAAAACTAAAATGTTAAACTAAAATGTAAAACTAAAATGTAAAACTAAAATGTTAAACTAAAATGTAAAACTAAAATGTAAAACTAAAATGTAAAACTAAAATGAAAAACTAAAATATAAAACTAAAATGTAAAACTAAAATGTTAAACTAAAATGTAAAACTAAAATGTAAAACTAAAATGTAAAACTAAA